GAAAAATTTAACGGGTTTTGACAACGCATGTAAGAATTTCTATTTCTGACAGATCATATTCGCAGATGGTCATTACTGGTTTTTTTATATCTATAACTGGACAATATTTTTACAGGAATTATGAGCTCTTCATCTTCAGATATCTCTAGTTCGCTTGAATTAGACTCACTATCTTGTATCCCGCTTGTAGACTTACCACCTTCTTCTTCTGCTAGTGCCTATCCTCTATGGATGTTGGCTACCACAATGGCCCATCGTATTTTAATAGCAGCTATTTAAAGTAGATCTGTGGTGGTCATACCTGTCCACTGTCTCGATTCTTAAGCCAGGATATTTGGCGGCGTCCTGGTCCTCTATTTCCTTCTATTTTCCCTTATAATATTAATAGTAGGATTCTGTATTTATTTTCATTTTATACATTTATACTTACCACGTAGTAAACTTTTAACATACAGCTTAAATTTTAGTAAATCCATTACCTTTGATCTTTATCGCCAAACTCTGCACTCTTCTGATATTACTCTATCCACGAATTGGTCAATAGGAGATCAATAAAGTGCCAAAAGACACGTTCAGGCTATTTGACAGCCAATAAAAAAGAAGCTGCAGATGAAGAAGCCATTGTACAAATATATTGTCCATCCATTTCAAAATAGATACTTTATTATCTCCCCGTACCCATTCTTCATGGGAACCTCGGCCTTCTTTTAGTAAAGCAGAATCTTTTTTGCTCCTAGTACTCGTGAAATTCAATTATTCATAATGGTACCAATAAGAAGCATTCCTTTTTTTAATAAATGATCGAGTAAATTGATGGAGATAAAATATCAATCAAAGTAAATTGTTGTTCCTGGACACAAGTTTGTTGACAATTTTTTCACAACAGAACCTCCAATTTCCAAGGATTTATTAGGAGCAGCATCAGGCTAAGTGTTTGCATCTTGATAATTAAAGAGTGATACATTCATTTCGTACATCAAGAAACGGTTGAAAGTTTATTTGCCTTTTTGGTCTGATTTGAAACTGAAAAGTTGTCTACAACCTGGAAAACATTTTGTAACTTGTAGATTCTATTTCGGAGAAGCTAAATAATAATAGGAATTTCAGTTCCTTTCATTAAATGGACACATCCAAAATTTTTTATTAAAATAAGAATTCCTATTAGTTTATTGAATTCCTTCGGAGTTGACATTGGGTTTTTAGTGTCCAGAATTCGTGATCTTAGCAGTCCATGGATCAGCGACGTCGAAATCTTGATTTTCAAAATATTTTCGTTTCACCTACATGTGGCAAAACTTTAAGGTTATGATGGCGCCTCCACAAAAATACAGTAAGTTGTAGTGTTGCACTGTACTTTCATGTATTAATTATTGTTTTTATGTATGTTATTTAATGTTTGGACGTATTATTTGTGGTAAATATATATTTGAAAATAATTTAAACTGGTCACGTCAGGGTAGCCCAGTCTGGTTATGCAAAAATAATCGATTTCATGGCAAAATTTTTCGAAGATATCTGAAGCTTTTAAGACATAGGTGGATGTTACTAGATGACGAATAGATGAAAAGATACTTCTATTTTTACCTTGCGTTTTTTTTTTAAATAATAATTAATGGTCACAAATTATTTACAAAATAACCGTTTGAAAAAGGGTTATGTTTTTACTTATAAACAATTGTAATAACTTCTACATTTTTCAAGCTATATACTTGTACGTACAACCATTGGATAGCTGTTGAAAAAACTCACATTAAAAAATAAAAAACCTTCTATGACCAATAGGAACGAAGTTGGCGACTATTTTTAAAAAAATCATATCTCCATTGTTTATAAATATTAAGAAGTAAAATTTGCACAAATTTTAATTGAAAATCTAAACTTTATATTGAAACTTATAGCTATAAAATTCATCTAATTTTTCGAAACGAAGGTACTTTCGAAAGAGCGACATAGGAAATTTGAGAGGATAACTGTTTCAGCTCCGCTTTTTTTTCGACATCGGAACTTCAAATTGCAACACGTAGGAAAAATTTACAGCATCTCTGCTTCCATTGCAGCTGCCAGCCTTTTTTTATTCTGGGGTAATTCGTCGAAATATGAATAACTACATAGTTTTCACTGGTTGGAAAATATGGGAAACCTCGGAAAAATGGAGTTCATTTGAAATTCACCGAAAAAACCTACTTTTTTTTGCTGGAATAGTCTGTCGCAATATTAATAATGATGACATAATTTCCACTTCCCGTAAATCTCGGAAAGTACTGAAAAATCAACATATATTTTTTCCATTTTATATCAATAATGTAATAATACTTATATATTTTATAAATTAAATTTCAGGTAATTTTTTACACATTATATTATTATATTCCTTATATTAATTATCATTGTTTGTATTGTTATAATTAACAATATTAATTTTTTATCTATTTTTCCTACAAATATATACAATATTAATCTAATCTGCTTTACTGCTTTGATAAAATAAGTCGATTTTTTCATCACTTGTCTTATTAAATTTTGCAATGTTTATTGAACTTTACTTTTTTTATTTTCTTTACATACATTGGTTTAAAAGTTAAAATTTGGTTCATTCATTCGACTTCACTGTCAGCTTTGAATATTTTTGTTGCAGGTTGTTTGTCTTCACTTATTAAGTCAGTTTATAAATATACATCTTCAGAATCACTTACGTCGTCAAATGTAACTGTACCGAGGTTGCAGCATATTTTCTCCTTTACTTCTTCTTCAGTACAATTTATGCACAAATTCGTACAATTTAAACCACGTTTCTGCACCCACATCTAGTAGTTTTGCAACCTGTGGTGCATTTGCATGTACAGTAGACTCGCAATTATCCGAGTCTCGATTAACCGAGTCTCTGGATTATCCGAGGTAGTAATTGAAAAAAACAAATTATGTAATAAATTAACTTCAGAGGGATATCAAGTCACTAGCGAGTGTTAGTGTTCTAGCCACTGTGCTTCTACTGGCCGCCTCACCAGCCACTCTTCCACCCGTCTGTTTGAGTCATAACAGCTATAGATGTTCGGTCAGTCCCACTGTAAGCTCTTAAAGGGTAATATATGTCTTCTCTTTGTGTAGTTTCTACGTAACTTGAAGTGCAATATAAGCCTAAAATGTAAACAAGTTGTGCTTTCTTTAGAACAAAATTAAATGCTCTAAAATGCTTGGATAAGGGTAAGTCAGTAAATAAGGTTGTTGCTGGCCTATGTGTTGGAGAAGTGGCTGTGGGAGATTGGAGACGTAAACGAAAAGATATTGAACAATCGGTTAATAAAAGTGTGAGTGGTGGAAGTAATTTATTGCGGAAAACTATGAAGAAAGGAGAATAGGAACAGACCTCTGAAGCCTTATTTTTATGGTTTTTTAATCTTCGAGGGCCAGGAAGTCCAAATAGCGGCCCCATGCTTTAAGCTAAAGCTATCGAATTTCACAAACGGTTTAAGGATGACGGGGAAAATTTTACTGCAAGTGATGATTGGCTCGACAGATGAAAGAAGAGGAATGGCATCCGACAAATGAACCTTAAAGGTGAAACAGTTTTGGCCGATTCATCTGAAATTGAGCCGTTTAATTTAAAATTGAGAGATCTCATTCAAGAGCATGATTTCAGGTCAGACCAAATCTTCAATTGTGACGAAAGCGATCTCAATTTCAGAACGCTCCCAACCAAAACACTGGCAGCTCAAAGTAAAAAAAACTGCGCGTAGATACAAAGAAGGTAAAGAACGAGTAACTCTTTTGATGTGTAGCAACTCTTCTGAATTTTTAAAATTAAGACCATTGGAAAATCAAAGAATCCAAGGGTTTTAAAAAATATTTAAGTAAACTACCTGTCCACCACGTACAGGAATTAACGTAGTGCGTGGATGGATTGCCAAATTTTTAAAGATTTGTTTTTTGACGAACCTACTAAAAAAACCTACCAAGAAAAGCTATTCTTCTTCTGGACAACGCGCCATCTCATCCAGATGCAAGTTCGTAGGCTAGCGGTGATACTAAAGACACTAAAGCTGTTTTCTCTCTCATTGAACCTCTGGACCCATCAATTTTATAAGCTATGAAATGGAACTATCATCGAAGGCATCTCCAAGTGTTGCTGACCTGCTTGGATGAAGGAATGACTGTGACAGCAGCCCTTTAAAAGATCATCGTTAATAATGTGTTTTACTGGAAACCTTCAGCGTGGAATGATGTGAGAGTAACAATTTTGCAAAAGTCATGGCAAAAGATTTTTCAAATTGAAGCAAAAAGTTATGGAAAAGATAACAATTACTGTATTGCTGAAATAGTGGACCTCGCTAATAAGTTACCAACGAAACTGCCGATAAATGATGAAAACGTCAACGAGTGAATTATGCAATATTAGCAAATGGAACTGACTGATGATGCAATCGCCGACACGGCTATCAACCCACACAATGTCAATGCGGATGACACAGGTGAGATAATCGAGAAAATATCTCACTCCGTAGGATTGAAGGCGATTGGAGCTGCCCTTTCCATGAAGAGTCAAACGCTACCGACGTCCTTCATCATTAGCGTTTTGCAATATGCCGCAGCTTTAAAACGAGGCCAGAAGTTGACGCAGAAATCTATCAAAGACTTTTTTAAAACAAGAAGATGATCCAGTACGTAATTGTTTTCCTATGTACTCGCATACAGGTTAACATACTTCAATTGTACATAATAAAATAATTACATACGTCATAACTTTTAAATCTTTTGTTTATTTTAAGCAAAACCACCCGATTTCCGGCTTATCCGAGTTTTTCGGTATCCGAGGTATGCGCGGACCCAATTAGCTCGGATAATCGCGAGTCTACTGTAATATGCTTTAATTTATCTTTGTCTGCGACTTTAGTCCGATACCCAGCTTTGTTTAGTTCTATACATAATAATTGTATTAGCCGCTCTTTATTTTTGGAAACTATTAAAAAAACTTTTTGCTTTATATTTATCGTTGTATTTACGTCTTATTTAATTTCCGGTGCAGATACACCCTCCATATTTCGACGTAGTCGTTCACAACTTTTTATTCCAGGAGTGTCGTATCCATCGAAAACGATAATACTGTTTTTAGCATAAAGTCTTTGTACGTAAGACACATATCCTCCGAGAATTTCAGCTACTTTAGAAAGCAAACCCCATACGTAATGTTGTAATAAGTACCCTCCGTCGATTATATGCAAAACTGTCGTTTTTTCTGTAATTTCATTAAATAAGCTACAAAATGGAGACTTTTGCGATTTACGTATACCACCTTCATTAAATAAAGACAGAGTGAATTGGGCCACTTCATACTGTAACCATAGTATAAAAAAGATCAAGAAGAAAAGAAAAAGAAAAGAAGAAGAAAATTTGTGGTTAAACTGTGCTGTAACTTACTTTTCATATCAGTCTTATTTTCAATGCTTGCACAAATTCTTTAAAATATTAGTAGAGGATTGGTAGGTATGGTCCTATCATGTATATTAACTTTTTAATTTAGTGAAAACCGATTTGCAAGTTTTGCAATCTTTTCTTTTTGCAGTGACATCATCAAAATTTTTACCAATTATTTTATTTTGTATATTGGTACCTATTTCAAAGGTTTATGGCAATTGATACTTTATTGTTCAAAATACACAAAATATTGCTCAAAGAAGTATAAGTATATTGCTTTTTAAAGCCACTACATTGAGACTGACGAAATTTTAGAGCGTGGAGCTAAAACAGTTTCCCCTCCACTTTCCAATGTCGATCTTTCGAAAGTACCTTCGTTTCGAAACGCTGTAAGTTTCGAAAAATTTGATGAATTTTATAGCTATAAGTTTTAATATAAAGTTTAGATTTTTATTCAAAATTTATGTAAATTTTACTTCTTAACGCTTATAAACAATAGAGATAAGATTTTTAAAAAAATAGTCGCTAACTTCGTTCCTATTGGTCATAGAAGGTTTTTTTTTAATGTGAGTTTTTATACCAGCTATCCAATGGTTGTACGTACAAGTCTGTAGCTTGAAAAATATAGAAGTTATAACAATTGTTTATAAGTAAAAAACATACCTCTTTTTCAAACGTTTTCTTTTTGTAAATAATTTTGATGAAAACGCAATACGTATTTAACTTCTGAGATAGTTTAAGTCTTAAAGAATCTTATGAAATTTGCTAAATGTGTCTAGCATCATTCATAGGACAAGTTCAATAGTTTAAATAATTAGTCTCAGGGATAAATAAATTAAATAGTTTTAAACTATTTGACCGATCGGGTAAAAATTTCGCACAAATTTAAAACGGTAATTCCTCGATGTTTTAGTGTATTAATAACATTTTATTTTGTTAATAAAAACATTAATATAATTTATGAATTAGTGCAAAAAACTGCTTTTTTGCAAATATCTCCGTAACTTATTAATCAATTTTATATGAAATAACGGGAAAATAAAGATATTTTTTATATAAAAAATAATATACATATTGTTTATTTATAATATGAGGAAAAAAACTTATAGACAAAAAATCAAATTGTGACCATACATTATTGTTTAAAAAAAACGCAAGGTAAAAATAGGAGTATCTTTTCATCTATTCGTCATCTAGTAACCCCCATCTATGTCTTAAAAGCTTTAGATTGCGAAAAATTTTGCGGTGAAATCGATGATTTTTGCATAACCAGACTGGGCTACCCTGACCTGAAAAGTTTTAATTATTTTCAATTATATAGTTACCGCAAATAATACGTCCAAACATTAAGCAACATACATAAAAACAATTAATACTTTAGAGCAGCGTTTCTCAACCTTTTACCAGTAGCGACCCAATTGTATATAAGTATTTTCACCGCGCCCCCCCCCCCTCATACAATAAAAAATATATGAATCCAGGACCGATTTTCAGGGGGAGGGGTGGTGCTACATGAACTTTTTTCGGTGGTACCGAAATTTTTTTAAGGCACTTCTCACACACTTGAGTACCATAAAGACAATCAAACCTTATCGTTATTAAAGTATATTTATTTGTCAAATTTTTTAGCCAGTCTTTCTGGATCCGCCTTTGCACTAAACTTACAGTAAAACCTTAATTACCAAATTAGCGAGAATAAGTAAATTTATTGATATATGGCAACACCAATCCAGAACCGATCGTCTCTCTTTGCGAGAAGTTCCGAGTTCCGAGTTCTCCTCTCACCTCCTCAGACCCAGACCTTGGTCGAGTCAGTTTAGTCAGTCTTTCTGCACCTGTTAAATTTATTGTGAATGTTTATGTTGTAGTTTGCGTGTATTAATTGCAGTTCACGGTATTAAAATATTCCAAGCAGTAAGTAAATATACTTAAATTTATACAAAATCATGGATACATTTTTAACTGGGCGTAAGCGAGCATTCGATACTAGTGAAGCATCAACAAGTGTAAAGGCGAGAGTGATTCCAAAAATAAAATCAAGAAAATATTCTCAAGATTACTTAAATTTTGAGTTTACGTTTACTGAAGTAAATGAAGAAGAACGGCTCCACATTTATCATTTTTTTTTATGGCTTTGGATTATTGATCCATTCAGCCACGGTATTATAATAAATACTGTTTGCTACAATATTAAATACTATATACACATGCGCAGCACATATACAAACTTATGCACGCACATACATATATAGGTATTGTTATATAAAAATAAAAAATATACAAAAAGGAAGTGGAAACATTAAATTGACCTCTATTTAAACTCTTCATTCAGGACCCTAACCAACTTAAATTAATTTACAAATAAGAAATATACAAATAATACTAAATGCTAATACTAAATTCTAATAATTAATAATTGTCACAGCGCTAAGACATAAACCCGGTTCAACACCTCGGAGGTTTAGGCCTTCTTTGTGATCGTTTTTTTTTTATTTTTTTTTTAATTTTTTTTTTTTTTATTTATTTTTTTTTTCTTTTTTTTTTTCTTTAATTTTTTTTTTAATTTTTCAGTTTTTTTTAACGATTTTTTATTTATATATATTTTTTTTAATTTTATTTATATAAGTTTTTTTTTATTTTTTATTTTTTTTTATTTTTTATTTATTTGTTTTTTTATATACATATATATTTTTTATTTTTTTAAATAACAATGTTCGTATTTTACAGGGAGGTACTTAATATTACATAAGATTAATTATAAAAAACAATAATTGCTAAACACATTCAATCCGACTCATTCATCCAAGTTAGATTTTTCTCTTAGTCCTTTTTAAAAATTCCCAAATAATTTGTTGTATTTTATGGTTTCGTCGAGACAAGTATAAAAGAGAAGTTTGGTTTTGTGGTAAAGGTATTTGATCTTGAGACAGGGTGTGCATCAAATATTTAATTGCATCATCATTATGCTTGCATCCAAACAACCAATGATTAATATCATCAACGTAACCATTGCAATCACAAAGTTCTGATTCGGATAGATTTAGTCTATAGAGGTATGTCTTGACAGTGGCATGGTTAAAGAGACATCTAACAAACATGGAATAAATATTTCTATTGGGGTAACTTCTTGCGGCAAACGGCTCAGTAGGTAAAACTGGATGAATTTTTGTATAAAGATTATTGCTTCGATTACAAAAAGCAAACCATTCAATGTCCCAATTTTGTTTTAGACTTTTCTTGCAAGTGGCTGTTAGATCGCTTCTATCTAGCCAATTTATTTCTGATCCTTTTAAGATTGCCTCTTTAGCATAAAAATCTGCTTTGAGGTTACCGGAAATACCAAAGTGTCCTTTTACCCAGACAAAATGTACAGTAGTATGTTCTTCCTGCAGCTTAAGTTGGTTTTCTAAAATTTTAACGACAAGACTATTTTTATGTAAATGTTGACGTGAGTTTTCTAAAGCTAATAACGCAGACATTGAATCTGATATAATTACTACTTGGTGGTTAGAAATTTTTTTGTTGACCGCCCATTCCAGAAACCAAACATTGACTTTGGCGTAAGAAACATTGAAATTCGATTGAAAGAATGTCAAGTCACACGGAGTGTTTAGACGTTGAGAAACGTTAGGATATGCCACTGCCAGAATAGGAGAATTTCTGTTATGCCACCATTTGTCGACTAGATTAGAAACAGCAATATCACATATTTTTTGTAGTAGCTCAGTTTGATTGTAAGACTGGCATTTGAGAATAAATTTTTCAGCTAAAAATAGTCGTCTTAAATGTAAGGGAGGTTCCATAGATTCGGCTAGAAGATTCTCTGTAGGTGTAGATTCGAGCGCCACTAAAACTAATCGCAGAGCCTTATACTGAAGGCGGTCTAGTTTTTTAAGACGACTATTTGTGGCAGATCCGTATAAAAAGCATCCATAGTCGAGAATGGATCTGGTGTATGCACGATAAAACATTAAGTTAATCTTGGGGTCGGCACCCCATCGATAGCGATTAACTACTTTAAGAATATTTAGACTTTTCTCACATTTCATTAAGCACTCGTTAATGTGTTCGTCCCATGTTAACTTGGTGTCCAATGTAATACCAAGATAAGTGTAGTGATTGTGAACGGGTATACTTAGGCTGTTAAACATAATGCTGGATATAACTGGTAAACGATGTCGCGTAAAAAATACCACAGCTGATTTCTTCGTAGTAAGCTCAAACCCTTGTTTAAAGAAATACTCTCTTGCGTCACACATAATAGTTTTTATTGAGTTAATACTTTGTTGGTATAAATTATTCACAGTGTAAAAGCAGAAGTCGTCCGCATATTGTAATATATTACATTTAATGCCTATATTGTGAAGATCTACGGTGTATAAATTAAACAACAGGGGGCTAAGGACAGAGCCTTGTGGTAGACCTTGATGCACTACTCTCGGGCCAATCAATCTATCATTACATCGAATGAATACCTGTCTATTCAGAAATAGGTTTACTAACACATATGAACACAAAGGTGGAATACCTATGTGCTTTAGTTTTTCGAATAATAGATTTAAATTGACGTTATCATAAGCTCCTGAAATATCAAGAAATATGGCAGATAGATAATTATTATTTGAGAAGGATAACTGAATATCAGTCGTTAATTGAGACACACAATCCATAGTCCCTTTATTTCTACGAAAGCCGTATTGACTAACTGGGAAAATATTTTTGTTTTCACACCACCATTCTAATCTGCTTTTCATAATTCGTTCAAATGTTTTAAGCAAACAAGACATAAGAGAGATAGGTCTTAGGGCAGTACGCTGATTTACTTTGGGTATAGGAATAACCAAGCATTGTTTAAGAGAATCACAGTTGTCTCCTTTAAGTAAAATATTGTTGTATATTTTGCACAGATAATGTATGGCAATTACTGGCAGGTTTAAAAGCATGCTGTAGTTAATGCCGTCAATACCAGGAGCTGTATTTTTAGAACTCTTAATATTTGCTTTAAGTTCGTCAGCTGAAATGGGGGTTAGTAAAAAGTGATCATTAGTGGAGATACTCGGCATAAATACTGGTAGATGGACATAATCTGGAGAGATTTTTCTAAAAAGACTTTCTACTATGTCTTCATTATTAGCGGTGTACTTTTTCTTACCTTGAATTTTGTTTACCCTTCTCCAAAGCTCTGAGGGTGAAGTTTGCCTACTAAGTGAGGAACAAAATCGAGCCCAACTAGATTTGGCTTTTGAGCGGAAAGTTCGTTTACACATAGCTTCATTCCTCTTATATTCAATAAAGTTTGAAAGGGTAAGATTGGATTTAAATATTTTAAAAGAATTTTTCCTTGCATTCGAAACTGTGAGACATTCATCATCCCACCATGGTGGAGTTTTAAAAGATTTTACTGAGGGTTTGATAATTTTAAAAGATTTGTTGGCTGCAGTAGTAATAGAATCTAATAAAAAGAATATCATTTCATTGGTTTCGTTTGTATTTGATTCGTATCTGAAGGTGCTTTCTACAGAATCTCTAAATTTTTCCCAATTTGCATTGGACATGGACCATTTATTTGTAGATGTGAAAATTGTGTTTTCAAATTTTATATCCTGCACGGAAAGTCTAATGGGAAAATGATCGGATCCATAGGTATCTGAAAGAACGGTCCAGTCAAAGGCTGAACATAAACTAGAGCTTATAATAGTAAGATCTACAACCGATTTGATATGTCCTGGAGGAGTAGCTCTAGTAGCCGACCCGTCATTTACAACAACTAGATTAGGAAATGCATCTAATGCTTCTACTAGTATATTACCATCGACGGAACATAAATTGGATCCCCATAATCCATGGTGAGCATTAAAATCTCCGGTAATGATACAATCATTGTTAATTTGAGAAAAAAGACTAACGTAATCTTGCATTGTTACTCTAACTTTTGCTGGACGATACACACTCAGAATAGAATAAATTTTTTGGTCAATATTAATATATACACCACAAACTTCGAGATTAGGATTGAAATTGTTAACGAATGAAATGGGCTCATAAATAATGTTATTTGCTAAAATTACGGCAACTCCTCCATATCCCTTACTTCTACTTTTATTAACTATATTAAAATTATTGAAGCAAACAGTATCAGATGGTTTGGACCAAGTTTCTGATAAAAGAGCTATGCCAAAACGTTCTTCAAAAATAATTGATTTAAAGAATATTTGTTTGCATTTAGCGAACGAATATTCCATTGAATAATTTTAATGCTTTTGGAAGCCATTAAAGTTATGTAAAAATATTACCTATAATATCTTTAATTTTATTTTCTAATTCAATTTCGTACATTTTAAGATTAGATTCTACATTTGAGGAAGAATTACAATAATTCTGTATACTTTGTTGGATCAAATTTTTAAGTAAAGCACTCAGCTGACTGATAAACTTATTGAATTCATTAGGAGGATCAGGGTTTCCAAACTGAAATATAGATCCCGAACAGAAGCTGGTCTGGTATTCTCTACGAATAGGAGGAAATTAGGAGATGTATCACAATTTTTTCTTTTTTTGGGGGACTAACTGTAGGGGAGGATATATGCTTGTGAGTATTATTATTTTTGTAAGCAGTGTTAGAATTCGAAGTTTTAGCAGAAGAGCTTTTTAATGGAGGGAAATCGGTGTCACAGGTAGTTAAGGGTGCAAATTTGTTTTTTTGAACTAAACTGGAATAGCTTGGATTTTCAATAGCTTTTTCAGCTTCTTTAAACGAAATATTCAAGTTAGCCATAGCTTCTTTAGTTTTCTTTTGTTTCAAATATTCGGGGCATTCTTTAAAAATTGACTCGTGGTTATTATTTTTACAAAAAACGCAAAATGCAATACATTGATCAGGGCAACCAATTTTTCCTTCATTGCCGCATTTTTTACATCTTTTTTGTGACTTACATTGGGTGGTTGAATGACCATATCGAAGACAATTAAAACATTGCATAACCGGACTAACATATATTTCAACTGGACATCTAACTTTATTAATGTAAATATATTGGGGAATTAATTTACCCTCAAAGCTAATTATGACCATTTGTCTAGGAACTCTTTCAGATATACCATTATTTTGAACTAATCTAGTCATTCTATAAACTTTTTTAATAGGAATATTAGACTTAATAGTGTTGAGCAATGCATTCTCACATAAAGTTGTATCCACTCTACGAACGAGCCTTTTTTTTCTGTTAAATAATTTGGAATATATGCTATTAAATTATTTTTTTCAAAAAAATCTTCTGTAACTAACTTATTAGCTACAGCACCTGAATCTACTTGGATTTTGATACGGTTTTTACCTACACTAACAATTTCTATAATATTTTTATCATAATTGGATAATGAAAGTAGTTTCTCTCCAAGTTTCATTGGATGCAAACGACCTAAATTTAAATTAATATGTTGAACAAATATAAAAAAAGGACCATTATCACTAGAACTAAATCGATTAGCTAAGTTAAATACCTGATTTTTTTGAATATTTGTTTTAGGCGAAGTTGAACTCAAGTTTTTGCTATCAATATTGTTTTTAATATCATTCCTATCTCTAAATTCAATGTCCTCTACACCAGGATCTGGTGGATCCTTCCCAGAGATACCATTTTTGCCCGAGGATATGACGGGGCACGACGTTTAACAAAAAAATTAATAAAAAATTTCTGCTTACAGTACAGTTGACAGAATACCAGAACTTAAAATATAAATCAAAAAAAACAAAAACGCTAAACACCCTGTGTTATATCTTGAAATACACTTCTGCACTTCACAAGAGATCGAAATCTAATAAAAAAAAGACTTTAGAACTACTTAAATATATAAATTTTCCCGAGGAACTCTTAAACGAGTCCAAACACTTTGACAGTTATTTGACAGATGGACACATTTATCATTTGCGCATAAATTTAAGCAGCCGACAGCATGAAACCAAATAAACTTAAAAGACATTTGGAAACGCTTCATAGTGAGTGCATTAATCAACCCCGAGAATTCTTCGAGTTAAATTAAAATCACATGAAAAATAAAAATCATTAAAAAAAATTTTGACTGTGAATGAAAAGCTTTACTTGCCTCTTATAAAACCTCCCATCAAATAGCTAGATGTAAAAATCCTCACACTATTGGTGAAGAGCTTATTTTTCCAGTTGCAATTCAAATTGTAGAAACTATGTTTGGAGATAATTTTTCCGAAAAATTGGAGTCTATACCTCTATCAAATGATACTATTGCCCTTCGAATTTGTGATACAGCTGAAGATCTACAGGGTCAGCTACTCGGGAAGTTGCGCGACAAGCTGTTTTCGATTTAGCTTGATGAGGCAACATATAGCAATAAAGATGCTCATTTTATTGCCTACGTTCGATTTTGTGATGGCATATCATTAGTAGAAGAACTACTTTTTTGCAAACCAATAGAACTAAAGGCAACGTGGCTCGCATTATTTGCTATCTTAAACGATTATATAAATGAAGCAAAAATAGAGTGAAAGAATTGCGTCGGAATATGCACAGATGGTGCTCGTGCAATGTCCGGAAAATTTCATAGTCTACAAGCGCCTGTGAAACAAAAGTCTCCAATTTGTGTATGGACACACTGTATGATCCACAGAGAAGCTCTGGCTTTCAAAGAAATGTCTCCTGGCCTGAATATTGTGCCAACAACGGTTGTAATAGTAGTTAATTACATAAAAATGAGACCTTTGAAAACCAGAATCTTTTCTGCACTTTGTAAAAACATGGGTGCATTACATTCAGCATTATTATTTTATTGTGATGCAAGATGGTTATCACGTGAGAAATTTTTACATGTTTTTGATTAAGACATGAAATCGCTATTTTTCTAGAAGAAGAAAATAGACCGGAAGCCGGGTTGTTTCGAGATAGTTTATTTTTGACGAAATTAAGCTACTTAGTTGACATATTCGAGAAACTAAATATTTTGAACATTCAGCTTTAAGAAGCCAATACACATATATTGGATACGAGTGACAAAGTTAATGGTTTTTATAAAAAAATGGAATTGTGGAGCAGAAATTTAAAGCAAAAAGCCTAGAAATGTTTGCAAATATGGATGAATGTAGTGGCTGCAAAAGAATTGCGAGGTCATAAAGTACATCAAAACAAGAAAGCTGTAATATTTAGGCCACATTACCAGAGGTGCGAAATATGAGATATTAAGGCTCATAATGCAAGGTAAAATCAAGGGTAAAAGATCCACAGGAAGACGAAGAATTTCCTGGCTGAGAAACCTAAGAGAGTGGTATAGTTGCAGTTCAGTAGATCTTTTTAGAGCAGCCGCCCATAAGGTACGGATAGCTGTGATGATAGCCAACCTCCGATAGGAGAAGGAATAACAAGAAGAATATTGAATGTAATAAAACTTACAAGGTTGAAGAACAACACGTGAAAGTTGTTTTTGTAACCATTGAAAATCATTTAGCGATGCTGACTAAAAATTTTAAGAGATATTTTTTTGCCGACGACAAATTAATACGTAGTTACGAGTGAGTTAGGAATCCGTTCCAAATTACACCGAAAGGGCTCTCTACTGCAAAAGAAGAAACCTTCATTGACTTCACGGCAAATGATGAAATCAAGAAACAGTTTAATAATAAATCCCTCTTTGAATTTTGGGCAGGAGTAAATGATGAGTTTTCTGCACTGAAAACCAGAGCGTTTCGTATATTGTTGTCGTTTTCAACATCCTACCTTTGCAAAACAGGATTTTCTGCGGTGGCTGCTTTGAAGACCAAATATAGATCGCAGCTAAATATAGAAAAAGAACTGAGAATATCTATTTCTAATATTACACCCCGTTTCGATAAACTTGGCTCTACAAAACAAGCTCAAGGATGTCACTGATTTATTATTAAACTTGTTCCTAATTTAGTATTTAGTGCTCTGTATAATTATACCTGTTATATCAGTGTTCATGTGTATTTTATTTTTTATTTTGTAAGAATTTTGTTTTGCTTTAATTTTAGTAAATTAGTCGATGTTGTTGGTGTTTTTTTTTCGAATAGGCTCACGCCCCCCTAGGGGGGCACGCCCCACAGGTTGAGAATCACTGCTTTAGAGTACAGAACAACACTACGACTTACTGTATTTTTGTGGAGGCGCCATCATAACCTTAAAATTTTGCCACATGTAACAACAAACTAAGGAAGTAAAGTAAGGGAGTCAAATTTACTGATAAATAGGAAGTCGAATATGCTGCAATATGGGTCGCAGCGATGCCCAACCCAAATAGTCATCGTGAAATAAATTGGTAAACATTGATAAAATACATAAGGCTTTCACGGCCATCGTCTAACTTGTTAGGCCGTTGTCTTCTGATATTAGTTTTCGACGTTTCGGCAACACTAGGGGTTGGCATCCCCTGGAGATGTTACTGCTTCGCTTGTACGCTGAAACTGAAAATTTATATTTTCTACTCGTCGTAGAGGGCGTGTCGTCGTTTGTAGTAGCTTTCTTTTCTTCGTATTTTGCAGGAAGAGTGTTTGTGAATTTTAATATTGGTATCCATGTTTTGTTGATTTTTAGTCCTTCTTCTATTCGATTAAAAGTATTTGGGTGCTTATATATTTCCACCGCTTCCCGATACAACCGTGGGTAATACTGTAATGTTTTATCCAGCATATGCGTTTCTTCAAATAGTATCTGATGATCTCTTGCTGTTCAGCAGTATAGAAGCCCTAATAAACTAGTGCAGACTCGAGCGGAGCAGTGGTGTGCAAGCTACTAACACGCGAATAAACAGCGTGGGCCGGGAGGACGCCAGTTTCAACTACACCGTCACATGTACGCGGCTTCCACAACAATTCGGGCGGCTTGGCGGTTTGTGCTAGTCAATCAGCGAGTACATATTGACCACGCGATGGAATTCAACGTGGATACAGAACTGTTTATTGCTACTGTTAAAAACCTGCCTGTCATATCTGTGATATGACATCAGAATATTACCATGACAGGATTAAGAAGAGATAAGCTGCATACTCTTTTTTTTTCTATGATATAAATGCTGATTAAACGAAAATGCAACACGTTGCGCATGCATCGTAAGCACATATCGCACGCATTTGTAGCCTACACGCTACATGCAAAGACGCAATTGTGCATCGAGCCTAAACCTAAATGTATAAAGAAAGAATACTCCAGTCGCAGTCGTCAGAGACGAAAATACAATAGCACTTGAGAAAAAATGCATCTTTCGTTTGGAGCTTTTGGCTCCGTAACCAAAAATAAGAAAAATGGTGTTACTAGCATCTGCTAGCTGACGGTTTAGCATCTCTAAATCCAAAATCAGTAAGCTGGTAAAACAAGGCCAAGATTACATACAAGCCAAAAGGTTTGTAAGAAAGACTAATTTTACCAAGGCCGCTGCAAGGACAAAAGAGTTGTCGTCGGAGCCATTAGAGGCCATGACCAAACAAAAACCAACTCAGAAGGCCGAAAGTACAAAAAGCCAAGGTCAGACGGAAGCTAACCACTTGAAACCCAATGCAAAGAGAAAAGGCCAAGAACCGAAGATATGACTTTCAGCGAAGCTATCGCTTCTGTTAATATTGCGGCAGTACTAGCAGGATTCTTCTAAAGCTCTGTAGGGATTAGGAAATGCCAAAAGGTCTTAATCGCAATGAAAGAAAAATCCAAATCTGCAACTTCTACGTGGTAGAAGATGGGCAACATCTATCTATAGATGACCAATACAGATAGGGACCGAGTGATTGCCGGTATAAGCAATCTCTCACTTACTAACCAACGACTACGGGCGGATGAGTTGGTAACTGATAGGGCACTCTTTTGTCCTGGAGTTGAGAAATCGACTCCAAAGGCGGATGAACCAAAGAAGTGGTCAGTAGCAGAAGGATGTAGAAGGCCAGGAGAAACCACTACATTATAGATCCTTGTGAATATCTCTAGTACAGCTTCCCATGACAGAGGAAGAAAGTATACATACTTTTAATGATCATAGACTTAGGAATCTAAGATCCGGTAGGGGAGGAAGATCACAACCAAACCACAAGGCCTCTCAGGTCGTAAACCCACAAAAACCCTCGAGAAATGCTTAAGGACCCAGACGTAACAGAGTCGCAATTATTGTCAAAGAAGAAATTCGTAACTGTATTAGAAATTTCGTTCCTGTCAATGATGGCACATCATGATGCTACAGCTGCAAAATAAATTAAGAAATATTAATATAATACAAGTCTATGCACCAACAGCTGACAACCAGATGAAGAAATTGACCAATTTTTCAACCAAATTAAACAAATTCTACGGACATAAAAACATGAAGCTATGATTATTATGGGAGACTTCAACGCAAAAGTTGGTGCCGAAATAACACAAGATATAAACGGAAAGTATGGACTTGGAGAAAGGAACGAAAGAGAGCAGAGACTAATACAGTTTTGCCAAGAAGAGAATTGCATTATAGCAAATACTTTGTTTTAATAACCTAAAAGACGACTTTATACCTGGAAATCTCCAGCTGATCAAGAAAGGTAGTCAGAAATCAAATAGACTACATTATCATTAACAGAAGGTTTAGAAACAATATTACATCTGCAAAAACATTCTTAAGTGCAGACGCAGAACTAATCATAATCTACTCTGTGCGGGATTCAAACTAAAATTAAAAATAATAAAAACCCCGACAGCTCAGAAAATACATAATAATCGACTCCTAAGAAATGCCGCAATAGCAGATGAGTTCGGAAATAAGATAAATCATGGAGTTAAAAAACAGCTAGAAAGATCTGAACAAGAAAATATCGGGACAAAATATAGATATAATGAATTCCGCCATGGTTACCATAGCAAACGAAGTTTTAAAATAAGAAAAACAGTCAGTAAAGAAAAGGATTGGATGACCGATAACATACTAGATCTTATTCAGCAAAGAAGAAATTGTAAAAATAAAGATGAGACTCGATATAGAGAAATATATCGACAAATAAAATACGAGGTTAAGCGAGGAAAAGAGGACTGGATGGAACAGAGATGTCGTGAGATGGAAGAACTACAAAGAAAACATGACGAGTTTAATAGACACAAAAAACTTAAAGAACTTACCCACACTCAGAGAAAAAGAACTCCTCACTTTATGAGAAACTCCAAAGATATAATTATTCTCGACTTAAACAAAAAAAAAGGAAGAAAAAAAGGAAAAAGAAGGACCAACTACATAAAAGAGCTCTTCCTGGATACGAGGCCACCACTTAACGCCACAAAGTATACAAATACTGGTCCTAGTATTTTAAAAGCAGAAGTAGAGAAAGCCATCAAACAAAGCAAAAATGGGAAATCTCCAGGCCCTGACCAAATACCACCAGACTGGCTCAAACTTCGAGATGACGACAATGTCTCAGAACTAACAAACATTTATAACCACATATACAAAACTGGAACACTGTCACAAATATGGTTGGAATCTACATTTATCCCACTTTCTAAAAAACCTAATACATCATCATGTAAAGACATTAGACTAATTAGTCCCATGAGTCACTCTCTCAAGCTACTTCTTAGGATAATTCTTAATAGAATCAAGCAGAAATGTGAAGACACAATGGGAATTAAACAATTCGGTTTCAGAGAAGGATTAGGAACAAGGGAAGCTTTGTTCTCAATTCTAACACTACTACAACGATCATGGGAAGTACAGAAACCAATGTACGCCTGTTTTATAGATTTTAAGAAGGCGTTTGATAGAGTTCAACATGGTAGGCTGTTTGAATATCTAGAAATAATTCGAATAGATGATAAAGATCTGAGACTTTTACATTTATATTGGAATCAAGAAGCTTCTATTCTGGTAGACGGCAAGGAAACAGACAAAATTTGTATTCAAAGAGGTGTTAGACATGGTTGTGTGTTGTCCCCAACTTTGTTTAACGTTTACTCAGAAATAATTTTTAACAAAGCCTTGGAAGGGCAATGTGGAGTTCAAATCGGGGGAGAAACTATTAATAACATCAGATATGCAGATGACACCGCAATAATGGCTGAAAGTATCGAAGATCTTCAATTCCTTATAGATCGAGTCACTAGAGAATGCTCTAAAAACAGACTAAGCATAAATACAACAAAGGTAAAGGTTACTTCATCATCATATAACGGGGGTCCTACGGCGATTGCCGCTTCCCGCATTTCAGCCTTCATCTTTTCCTATCTCTCCAATCTCCCTCTTCTAAGCCTCTAGATTGCATTGTTTTTGTAATTTCTCTTCTCCAGGAATTTGGTGGTCTTCCCCTTTTCCTTCTTTCTGGCGGAACATACATTAAGGCTGTCTTTGGCCACCGCTCCTCGTCCATTCTCATCACGTGACCATACCATTGTAATTGCCTTCCTTGTATTCTATCTGAAAGAGTATCTCTAATTCCTGTACGGTTTCGTATTTCCTCATTCCTGATTTTTTCCATTCTCGATACTCGACATGACCTTCTAAGATAATCCATTTCCACAACATCTACTTTATCTCGTTCATCTTTGTTATCGTCCAACATTCGGCACCATATGTGGTAATCGGTTCTACAATTGCTCTGTATACACGAAGTTTGGTATGCATCTATATTTTATTAGACCACAGTAATGAATTCAGTATTCGGATGCATTTTTTCCCTTTGTTTATTCGGTTTTGTACATCTATCTTAACTCTATCATCTGCTGATATGATGCTTCCTAGATATTTATACTGGTTGCAACCTTTTATGACTGCGTTTTCAAGCCTCAGATCTGTGGTATTTCCTCCAATTTTTAAATATTCTGTTTTGCTTATATTTACAGTAAGCCCCCATTTGGCATATTCCTCAAATAATTTTCGATTCATATAATTTATATCTTTCACATCGGTTGCAACCACCACCTCATCATCTGCAAACAACAATGTATGCAGAGTTTCTTGTCCCACTTCGATGCCCATAAATCTACATTTATTTCTCCAATTCCTCAATGCTTCTTGGACGTATATTTTAAAGAGTGTCGGTGACAAACAGCATTCTTGCTTTAGGCCTTTAGTGACTTTAAATTCATTTGAAGTTCTGGTTAAAATTTTTACACAACTAACTGCATTTTCGTACAATTTATATATCGCTCGGATATACGTCGAATCCAATCCGGACCTTTCGAGGACTTCAAACATTTTCTTTAACGGGACACTATCATATGCTTTCTCAAGGTCTATAAATACCAAATGGGTCTCTCTACTTCTTTCGACACGCTTTTCAATTATTTGTCGTAGGATAAATATATTATCAAGGCAGGATCTCCCGGTACGAAAGCGGCTTTGTTCTTCAATATCTTGTGTCTGTCTTTCAACCCTCTTTTTTAATATTCTGCCGTACAAACGGCCCACAGAGCTCGTCACACTAATACCTCTATAATTGGAACAGTCTCTTTTATTCCCTCTCTTATATATGGAGCTGATATAAGATTTATTCCAATCTTTAGGAATTTCCTGGTCCTCACACATACATTTATTAAAAAGGTCTACTATTAATTCTAAAACTGCAGTCGGCCCATATTTAACCAGCTCTATGGGAATGTCTCCAGGCCCTGCGGCTTTTCCGTTTTTAACCCCTTTTAAGGTTTCCGTCAATTCAGATAATGATATTATAGTGATTTCCTGTCTTTCGTCTCTGTTATCTATTAATTCCCTTATCTTGTCCCATCTGTACTTTACTCTATCCTCTTTCAGCAGTTTCGTATAATATTCTTCCCATTCATTTAACTTTATGAGAGGAATAAAGGTTACTTGTGATGAGTAAACAAGACCTCGGTGCTATACAACTAATTGTCAATAATGAACCGATAACAAAAGTTAACCATTTTAAATATCTAGGATAAACGAGACACTAAATCCGGATAAAGAAATTAAAACTCATATAAAAATTGCAAGAGGAGCATTTATGAAACTTAGATCTATTCTGAACAATTCTCAGCTAAACTTACAGCTGAGAATTAAGTTCCTAAAATGTTATGTGTGTCCTGTATTACTGTATGGATGTGAAAGCTGGATTATGAAGGTTAACATGATGAACAAATTAGAAGCCTTCGAGATGTGGTTATATCGTAGAATGCTCAGAATATCATGGGTTCAAAATATTTCACAGAGAACAGAGAAGGTCTTAAACAGAGTAGCTCAAGGTGAAGGCGACTTAATAAAGATGATAAAAAAGAGAAAACTCGAATATCTGGGGCATATAATGAGAGGAACCAGATACAGGATAATGCAGTTGATACTCAACTGAAAGATCAACGGAAGAAGGGGAATTGGTAAAAAGAAATATTCATGGCTCCAAAACCTTCGTCAATGGACTGGCTAGCAGCAGATGAATTATTACATGCCGCGCAAGATCGAGAACGATGTCGGCAAATCGTCATGGAAGCTACCAACGATTAAAACTGGGGCACGGTACTCAAAGAAGAAGACTAGCATCTTTCTCAGAAGCCAAGATGGACAGTTTGGGGAAGCAAATCTTTGGAAAAAGCGAGAAGGGGAAGACAACACTGGAGGAAAAGCTAGAAGCAACTCGCTCCAGTGAAATAGCGGAAACTTCCCTACATATGGAGGTTTAGGAAGAGAAACAACCTTCTCCAGGTGGAACCAGCCGACTCGTAAAGACTACTAACTAAGTGCCTTGGAGTCAGATAAGATTAAGGAAAGTCCACGGAATCAGAAACGCATAACTCTTCGGGGGGAACATAGAAATAAGGCTCCTGTAGACCAATTTTTAACACGCAAAAGCCGCATCGACAACGCTGGTTAGAGGAGTCGAACAAGAACATAGGCGAGAATATTCCGGCCTATCAACCAAATACAAGGCAAGGATTTATACACACATAAAGCTATAAGGTCAAGGTTGTGCAATATTCACAGTAATAGAGTAGATTGTACACTAATCCCGGTGTTATGCACCGATGATATTGTTACAGGTATTTCAACTATACCCACTGAAGTGGAAAGGGGAGATTAGTGGTGTGTTCAGACTACTTTCTGGCTTATGAGGCTCTAGGTTCACCAAGCATTATAAACGATAAAGTTGCATATTGTCTAGGTAAAGGTATATAGCTCATTATATGATGTGATATCAACGTATCAGCACAAACATTAACACAAGGTATAAGTCTATTTTGAAGTTCATCTTATCTTAAGATTTAATTATATCCAATATGTGAAACAAACCAACTTTTATCACTTAGGTACGCAAAGAAGCGTTAGATTTAATACTTTTCATAAGCAAGGTAAGTGATATAATAACAAAAATATTATGTGTGTAATGCTGTTTAATGAACTCTCATGTTCACATGAGGTTTACATGAATCACATACATATACGATTTGACTTCAATTTATTTCCATCTATAATTAAATACAGAGATCGTAGAGATACAAACTGAATAGAATATATAGGATCCCTCATTAGAAATCTCAGGGAAAAGACAAACTTATTTAAAAGCATGGAGTCCATAAATTCGGCAGCACAAACGACAAGCGAAGCTAATATGGGGGCTTACCAAGATAACTGTCTGGGAAAAATGAAGGCAGAATATGAGCAGTAATACAGTCTGATGAGACAAGGCTTCTAGAAGCTAAGGGCGGAAGTCCGAAGCCTTAGCAAAACCAAAAGTAACCAAGAGTGAAATGTGTTCAGGTATAAGCTAAGGCTATGCAACAAAGAAATGCCAAAAGAAATTCATAAAGAGAGTTTTGTGAGAAGATTACAGATATCCCGTCCTGCTCTCGAATCCATATTGCTTCGATAATGCTATATTACTATACTACTAACAGTAACAGCTACGGAAGAACTGAGTACAATGATATCAGGTCTATAAAAAGCATCAATAGCAAAATGTTTAAAAAAGGAAATTCTAAAAACAAAAATGTTGACTTATGCCAGAAAGGTGAGCATGTAGGAAATTAACATCAAAAGATATCAGGGTGGATAAAAGTAATCAAACGAGATACATAACCAGAATATTAAGAAGAAGATGGGCATTATTCGAAAGACCCGAAAAGCCCGAAAAAACGGGTTTGAAATTAACAATGGAGGTATTCAATTCAGGTGTCATGCCTGTTCTGATATATGGGATTCCGATAAGGACATTTACTAAAAATGAAGAAAACTCAGACTGCCATGAAAGGACAAAGTAATATAAGCAAACCCAAAACATAGAGTTTTAAAACCTCAAATATAAATAGGCTAGAAATCAGAAAAGGTATAAAGATACAAAATGGATCAAAGTAATTAAAGACTGGAAACTACATATTACGAATATATCAATAAATTGACCGCAAATAAGAAGAAACGATAATATTACATAATTCTAAGTATGTGGTATATAAAAAGGTGTTAAGGGTTGTTAATTATCTGGCACTAATTACATCTTAACACTGTTTATTTTTGTACAATAGGTTACTGACTTGTTTACAATATCGGCCGGTAACGCATATGAAATATGAACAATAACAATATCGACCTATGTTAACTCTTGTGAAATACTATTCTAATACGGATAGCTACAATCAATAATTACAATTTGTGTGCTCGTATTTATATTCAGTCACTCGTGGTTTAATATACAGTAAACGTTATACTCTCAACCTTCAATTTTATACTATATTAGGTATAGGTCTTTTTGTGTTTTAATACTTGAAGGTTACAATCCTAGCACAAGCAGATCTAATGTGGAAATGATAAACGAAGCACAAAAAAATATACCTGGAAATAATTTTAAATGGACTAAGTTTATAATATGAATAGATAATGGGTCTTAACTAACTTAACCTAACATAACCTTAATGGGTATATCCTAAAACGTAATATAATTTTTATCATTGTTTAAAGAAATTTGAAAAACCTTTACTGATGTTTATTATATTACAAAATAGCAAAAGGGTTTCTTATGAGCATCACTTTGAATAAAAACTGTAAACAGCTTTCACATACAAAAATTGTAACTTACCACAAATGCGGCATACATTTGGTTTTAGACAGTCCCCATCAATAAAATTAACATTTGGCCTTCTGCGGTTTGAAGAGAAACTAATAGGCATTGATTTGTAAGGTGAATTGGTAATGGGCATCTCCTGAGGTGGTCGGAAGTCAGCTGTAAAGGAATATGTAGCTCCTCCATATGAAGGACTTAATAATCCTTGGCCCTGGTAAGTTTGCGAAGTTCCCTGAGGTGTCGAGTTCCACTGTAACTAATTATTTTATATTGTATATTAACTTTTTATATAAGAGGAGATATTGCTAATACCTGTGGACAAGATATATCTGTAGAAGAATAACTGCAGTTGTTATTCGGATGATATCCATGCATAGTCATATTCATTGAAACGTTCACTGACATACTAGGAAACATTGAGGTTTGGTGAGTCAAAGCTTGCTCAAAACCACCACTAGAATATCCGCCAGGTGAAAGAAGCATCTGTGGATGATAAACATGTTGCGTTTCATATTTTTCATTAGGACTTTGGCCGGAATGAACAACCGCGTGTTTTAATGAAAGCAAAACGTCCGTTACGTCGGGTCCTGGTTGCTTTTGTTCTCTAAATACAAGCGAAGCTTGATTCTGGATGGACGGTTCTATTCTAAAATATGAATTTAAAAAAATTAGGTTTCTAACAACAATTATTGTTATACAGTACGTCTAAAAAGTATAGGGAAAACAAAGCACAATTATAATTCTTCTGTATATTTTTGTATAATACCATAATGCTCGTTAATATTTATCCCGTAACTGTATAACTGATCCGACAAAACCTTTTGATTTCATTGCGTTGCTCCTTTCACTTCAGGTTTCATTCGGCGTTAAATATATTATTAATTGAGTAAGATATGGTGAAGCTTCCGAATAGAATTTTTGGTAAATGGCATTCTGGCGTCCAAGCATGAGAATAGGTAGAAGTATGACATCTTACATAATCTTAATTAAAACGACACTATTTGGAACGTAAAGTATACAGAAGAAAACAATTTTGAATATTACAATACTTTGTACTAATAATTGTGGCATCTACTATACAGAGATGTATAGCTATTTTAAGGATATTGGAACCAAGCTGAGAACAATATCAGAATTTCATCAGATATAAATCATTATTGAAATTATCTTCTCGAAAACGTGAAGTTGGTTTCCGGAGAGTTCGTTCTCACTATATAAGCTAGCAGCGGCGGGCTTATAGTCTTTTACTAAATGTAATTTTGAAAAGGACAAATAAAAGTTATTTTCTGTACAACAGTGTTTATACCTATCATCATCATCATCATCGTCGTCATCATCATCATCATCATCATCATCAATTAGCCTATATTTGTCCACTGCTGAACATAGGCCTCCCGTAAAATTTTCCATGGATACCTATACTTATTATTATACCTACACCTTCGTGAACAGAAGTTATGTGGCAAAAAGAAAAAATCGCATGTGTTCCTGTTTTTTTTGTGTTGTTTTTTGAATAAATTAAAAAAAAATTATTTTTCATATTAGGTCACATTTTGATAGGAAATTTAATATTGAACAACTTTTCTTAAAGTGTATATGTACGAAAACTGCATAAAATTCACCCAAATGCACCCAAGTGCGTAAGGACAAATTCACGCGCTGCTCCTTTCACTTCAAGTTTCATTCGGCGTCATATATACCTATTATTAATTGAGCTAAGATATGGTGAAGCTTCCGAATAGAATTTTTGGTAAATGGCATTCTTGCGTCCAAGCATGAGTCTAGATAGAAGTATGACATCTTACATAATCTTAATTAAAACGCCACTACTTGAAACGTAAAGTATGCAGAAGAAAACAATTTTGAATATTACAATACTTTGCACTATTAATTGTGCCATCAACTATACAGAGATGAATAGTTATTTCAAGGATATTTGAATCAAGCTGAGAATAACATCAGAGTTTTGTCAGATATAAATCATTATAAAAATTATCTTCTCGAAAACGTGAATTAAAATATATTCTTGGTTGCATTTGGAGACGTAGTACTGCAAATATTCTTTTTATTTTCTTGAGATTATTCTGAGTCATATAACACTGATTGCGGCCTTGTGCGTTAGCAAGTCTCTGTTTGGAAATATTCCATGAACTGATTCTATCGACACAGAGATGACCTAGAATTTACGAAGTTTTCGTCACCCATTCAGCTGGTTTCCGGACAGTTAGTTCTCACTATATAAGCTAGCAGCTATTATTAGTATTGGCGATTCTACGCAGCAGTGCAAGTTCTTCTGAGGGATAAACATTAATGTAATTAGTTTTTACAAATTTATACCGATATCAGAAAGCCATAATTCCATAATACGACAAGGACGTGTACTATCTCCTTTACTTTTGAATATGTGCTTAGAAGAGATGTTTAAAGAGGCTTTAGAAAACATCAGTGATTGCATTAATGGTGTGGTAGTGAATAATCTCAGGTATACAGATGATATAATACGCGTTGCGGATAGCAAAAAAGGGCTGTAAATTTTGGATGATCGCACTACGCAGTCCTGCGAGAGGTATAAAATTGATCTTCTTCTTCTTCTTTTTATATAGATATGACTCTGTCTATTTTTCAATGTGCCTCCAGTAAGTTGTCATTCCATCGTTTTCGTGGTCTTCCTACTGATCGTCTTCCTATTGGAGAACCATCTCTTGCCGTCTTTACTACTCTATTTGTTGTCATTCGGCTTATATGATCGTTCCATTCTACTTTTCTGATTCTTAGTGAGAGCGCCTACCAAAGTGGCGTGGCACGTGGCACGTAGCAAGTAGCACGCATCTAGCATGTTACTTAAAACATAACCAATGAAAACGAATGATTCAGCGCACACCAAAATGACAGTGACATCATTCGATCTAATAATTCGTTTGCATTGGTTATATTTTATGTAACATGCTAGACGCGTGCTACTTGCTACGTGCCACGTGCCACGCCACTTTGGTGGGCGCTCTCCCTTACCCAGTATTTGATGTTCTCCACCTTACATCTATGTAGTATATCTATGAAGGAAAAGACTATCGTGGCTCAGAAACATCCGACAATGGACAGGGCTAAATTTTGAACAGCTAATAAGAACAGCTGAAGTTAGAGAAGAGTTTAAAATTGTAGTAGCCAACCTCCATTGAGGAGAGGGCACTTTAAGAAGAAGAAGTATATCTGTACTTCTAGCTCTGCTTCATAGTGTCTTATCATCAATTTTTCATCTCTGCTGTTTCTAACATCCTTTTTGTTCTCTCTGTGTCAGGTCTTGTTCCTGCCGCGTATGTCATTATTGGTCTGATGACTGTTTTGTAAATTCTGCCTTTCGTTTCTTTCCCGATATTTTTATTTCTACATATTGTTTCATTTGGGCAGCCTGCGGCTCTGTTTGCTCTATTCACTTGATCTTCTACTTCGGTTTCGAACTTTCCGTAGCTAGATAATGTGATGCCTAGATATTTAAACTCCATCACTTGTTCTATTACCTGACCTTCCAGCTCCAGTTTACATCTTAGTAAATTTGGTGTTATAACCATGCATTTTGTCTTTGTTGGGGAAATTAACAAGTTAAATTTTCTGGCGGTTATATTAAAATGGTGCGGCATATGTTGTAAATCATCTTCACTTTAAGAGAGTAGTATTGCGTCGTCTGCATAGCAGATTATTTTAAGTTGGTTTTCTCCCATTTGGTATCCTTTTTTGTTCTTACTTTTTTATTATTTTATCCATAATCAGGTTGAACAATAGAGGACTCAGGGAATCTTCCTGTCTTATTTAATTGCCAGCTTCAATAGGCTCAGTTAGTTCTTTTTCTACTTTTACTTTTATTGTGTTGTTTTCCCGACCTAAATCCTTGTTGTTCTTCTGCTAGTGTTATAATCTCATTCAATTTATTTGTAATCACTTTGATTGTTAATTTTAGTGTTGTTTTTAATAAATTAATTCCTCTGTAATTTTCCTGGTCCGATTTGTCTGCCTTTTTGAAGAGAGGTATTAGGATGATTGATCTCCACTCTTGAGGAATTCTGTTTTGTTCTATTATTTTTTTAATTTCGTCCCATTTCTCTTGCCACATCATAACGTACCCCTCCATTTCTTCATTTTTTAAACGTTTCTCTTCCTCTTTTAAACTTACTCTTCCTCTTTCCTTTATTAGCACGTGCATCCTAATACACCTGGCGATAACTCTCTGTGCCTCGGCAGACACTGTTCTGTATGTATATATCCCAGACAGGCGCTGCGTAGAGGATGATCGATTGCACAACAGAATGAAGAGTTTTTCTCCTCTTAAATTTATGTTCTCTGTTGTTGGGCATAATTGCTCCCATTGTGACAAATCTCACCACAACTCTTTGACTTACTGCCTTCACGTGTTCTCCCCATCTTCCATTTTGACACAGAGTTACGCCTTAATATCTTACGCTTTTCTTTGAAACCACTCTCATTCGAGATTTTTTGTACATTGTTATGTTATCACTTTCATTTTCTTTGGTTCTTTAAAAACTATAGCCATAATTTTACCCGGAATCAGCTCTATTCCATGCATTTTCGTTCATTTCTTGACTTGGTCACGTGTATGCTGCGCACTTAAAAAGATAAGGTCTACCCTACCCGTGTCACTGTCAGCACAGCGAGATTATCCGCAAATACGAAAGAGATTACATTCTGTCCGTATGTTTCGAAAAACCAAAATTTGTCGGTCACGATATTTACGTAGGAGTGGGAGATATATATATATATATATTATATATATATATATATATATATATATATATATATGATATATATATGATATATATATATATATATATTATATATATATATATATATATATATATCCTCCACATATGCTACATTTCTAATTTTTTTAATATAAATAACTTAACATTATTTTTTGCTAAATCTCAGAACATTGTATCCAACAATCAGAACATCTATTCTCATTCATTACCTTTTATACCATCATTAACACCTAAATTAATACAAACACTAAAGGTTATTGACAATATAAAAATAGCAACAAAGAACATCAAAACCATTCTATCTTTATATTCCAAAACTAAGTATTCTATAGACAAATTAGATAAAACAAATGTAGTATACAGCATTAGTTGTACTCAGTGTGAAGCTGAGTATGTTGGTGAGACCGGTTGGAAGAAATATCTCAAATCGCATTATTTTTCATAAAAGTGATTGCAGAATTAAGAATTCATCTTGTGCTTTGGCAGAGGATGTAATCGACAAAGACCATATTATGGATTTTGATAATATTAAAATTTTATGTAGTGAAAGTAATAAATTCAAAAGAACTTTTTTGAAAATGGTTTGTATTAGCAAAAGTGATAATAATTTAAACAAAAGATCAGAAATTAAAAATCTAAGCAAAATTTATAATTATATTATTTCTATGTAGTTTATATATGAAATCAGTAAAATATCACATTTTGATTTAATTTTCCATGTATTTTTTACATTTTTTCAGGCAAACAAAAAAGAATTTTTAAACAAAATTTTATCGGAAAAATGGGAACAATAAGTGACAAAAAACAAGAAATATGATAAAGAAAATCTGACAGTACCCTGGATATGACAACGGA